ATATGTATGTATATAATATGTATATACCTATGTGCAGAGAAAGAAAGAAAGATGCATACATTGTTAGACTGATAGCTCGATGGATGGATGGATGGATGGATGGATACACACCACGAAGGTGATATACATTGCTGGGGACCGACCCGCATTGTGGAGTCCAACACTTTTCGGAGTCTCGTGTGGGGGTCTAAGGTCGTCCCAGCCTTACAGAAGCAGGGGGTAGCAAGTGGGCGCTGTGATTGTTAGGAACTATAGATATGGTTGCTTGAACCCACCCCCTTCCCCCGCAAGGGGTGTACTACTTATATACTTACTTCCTACACCCCCTCATCCTCGAAGCAGTGCTCTTAACTGTTAGGCTGTTAGGACGACCTGTAAGACTTTTGAAAGGCACCTTGGGCTCCCAGAGCGCCAGTCGTAAGCCCGATCCCATCTGGAGTTTTTCTTTGCGACTTCGGCTTTATGACCGATCAAGGCAGAACTCTGCCCTGCGTCATGGAAATAAATCTGCTGGCTTGCGACGGTCTCTCCGACTTCCGGCTTCTGGCAGCCGATAGCAACAGGTTGAACAGTCTTGACTGACTTTAATTGTCCACGTTTGCAGGCAAATCAAGAATCATTGAACATTGAGGATTGCAGTAGGGCTTCTCGTGCTAGGGATTGTATGTATAGTGCACATCATATGATTTACATTCCTAGTCCTCGACTTTGCTGAGTCTTGTAGGCACCTGACGGGAGAACCGAGCTACCAATAATGCAATGCAATCAATGCTTTCTGAAAGGGCGTACCCGCTTTGCCCGGGTGGATAGTGTGGGTCATAGAATCACGCAAGGATTCTGCTGAGGTGCGGGCGCATCAGTGTGCAAAGTACCTGTAATCTGATACCTGCCATCAGGTTCGACTGTGATCGACACAGTGCGAGCCTCCTGAATGCGCGGCTGGGGACCTATCTCGACGTCTGCTATGGTTGCTTCGTCTAGCTTAGTAGTGACTCTGAATGGCGCGCCCAGCATCACAGCTGCCACCAAGGCGATGCAAACCAGTGCCACACCAGCTAATATGAAAACCACTTCAATGCATCCCTCCGAAACAGACTGTATGCGGATGTGCTGCACGAGGGCCGTCTTGAGCTTCTTCATAAATTCGGCGCCGCTTTCCGGCACTTCCGGAATATTCTGTAGGAGCATTGCTTCCACTAGTTTGTGTTTGAGGTGCTCCTCAAACCCTAATGGGTCGCTGAGATATTCGTCCGCGAAGTTGAGGTCCATCTTCAAGAAGATCACAACATCTCCAGGCTGCAACTGGCCGACGGTTTCTACTGCCGACAGCATCATTCCATAACGACGCTTCGACAAAGAATACTCTCCGATGACTCTACACTCGATCAGCGACATCGTCTTTCGCAAGTATTGGTCAATGCCACCGAGGAGCTGGTTTGAGCTCGGAATACCAATGCCATTGTCGGCCAGGAACGCTGGTATGGCACACTGCGGAATCATGAAGTCACTGCTATCACCATCCTCAACTTTGTGCACCTGATAATCGAAAAGGATCTCGGGCGTTTTCCGCACATCGCGACTGTCCGCACGGTCCGGTGGTTCCAGCAACGGCATGTCCTCCGACGGAAAGCCTGGAGTGATCAAGGCTGCACATGTGCCGTGAATTCTGAGGACCTGCAGCAAGCCACGCTGCATCATGTCTGCGGCAGGTTGCGCGAGGAGCTCTTTGATGTACAAGTAATCGTCCCAGTCACCCTTCTGAACCTTGTCCGCATACAAACATCCCAATCCACTTCCCAGGAGTACAGAGTTCCCAACGCTAACGACGACAACTACTGCTTCGGCCATGTGGGCGGTGGATGCGCAACTAGCTGAAGGGATGCAGCGGGCTGTTGATTGATGCTCGGCGGCAGATTCGGATGAACTGTTCGCCTTAGCGGCCAGCCGATTTGCATTTCTGCTCGAAAAGCTTGTTTTCATCAAGTGTCCCATTACGCATGTCAGATTTTTTCTGCTGAGGAAGCATGCGAACTATACTGTCACACTGCCGGACATCCTAAATTTAAGACCCCGAAACCTCATACGTAGTCGAGAAGGCTTCCGTACTGTGTTATCGTGATTGAAGAAAACCTTCTCTAAGGAAGGATCTCTGTCCAGTGCGAAGAAACACAAGCATGCAAGATTCAGCCTGATTCTGGAGATGCTGGACCACCGTCATGCTGTGGCGCTT